ATATATATATATATATATGTGTGTGTGTGTGTGTTATAACGTATACCGGAAATAGATCTCACGCGAGAACGACGCACCCGCAGTAACTTTGTGGTAGCTGTGGTTTTTTTCCGGCTGTATGTTGTAATATTATCCGCTCTTGGATATTTTATGCGCGCGCAAATAATCTCGTCCGCTGACGTCTGTTTATTTTTAAATTGTGCATTACGCAAATCCGAGTCCCGCGTCTCACCCGTTAGATGTCACCGCCGCCGCGTCTCGTTCGCGTAAACAGCGATTGAAGATTGGAGAGGCAATGGAAAAAGATAAACATTCTTATCGCGCACGCGCATTTGTCAGCGAGGTGCGTTTTCCGTAAGTGTCGGTTCACAATAGGTATTTTATGCCTTAAGCCTTAAAAAATTGACCAGTCGCAGTTAATTTTCTTTACATTCGACTGTGATTGGTCAATTTGTTAAAGCCTGTATCAGACTACGAATTAAATTTAAGCCAATCAGTGTGAAGTTAACTGAACTCAAGTTTAATGAAATTTAATCAATTCTACATTGATTGGTCAAATTTCAATTCAATCTCAAGTTTCAATCCATAATCTAATACAGGCTTCCGGCTTAAAATATTTATTGTAGATCGACACTTAAGCCCGTATCAGACTACAGATTGGAGATCAAGATTGAATTGAAATTTGACCAATCAGTGCCAAAGTTCACTAAATTTCACTAAACAAATTCAGTTAATTTCGTGCTGATTGGCCCAATTCAATTTCAATCCCCAAATTCGTAATCTGATACGAGTTTTGTCGAAAAGACAAAAAGCAAAAAGAACAAGAACATAACGGCCGATATTTATAGTTGGGTTTTATATCTGAAGCCGTTTCAAGTTCACTTTTAGACGCTTCGTAGCCAATGAAATCAGCCATCCAGTATCTGAAGATAACCTTAGGACGATCTTCTATGTAAGATCCGACTACGAATATCGGCCAAAGAGCACGTTGTAAATCATCTTTATAAGCGAGAGTGCTCATAGCGTCCAAATCGAATGCACCCCAGAGCGCGACAGTTGCGTTGTTATGGTTGACTACGGCGCTATGCAAATAATCGTTGTTTCCCCGTTGCGACGACTCGCAACGGTTAATTAATACCCTTAATTAATGAAGGAGCACTTCGATCATGGATCTAGACCAGGGGCGGGACGTTAATGTTTACGAACTCGTGACGCAACTAGTCAAGCACACGTTGCGACGAAACCGTCCTGGAAATGGGAACTTCTATGTACCTCCCAAAGACGATATCAAAATAGTAAAGAAACTCCGCTCGAAGACCTTCGAGATATTATTGAATAAAAGTAACAATGTACATATTCAAGGTATTTATATTTATATTTACATATCTTGTACACGTTTGATAACGTGGTGCTTTCAGACTGCGATGATAGAATGTAATGGAAACTGTTCAGGTATCTTTTTCGAGCACTGTTTTGATCGTAAGTTATAATTGCAGGGAGTAAGGCGAATTCTAAGGCTGATCCCTTAATACAGGTGCTAAAACATGCCTTTGTACTCAAACTGTCCTTGAAACGTATATCGGAGGCTGAAGAATTGGAGAATCTAATGAAAAACTTGTTTAGTCACGAGACTAATACAGAAGCTGTAATCAATCCCATTTTACAGCTACTGATAGAGCTGAAAAATTTCCAGACCGAAGCGCAACCTGTATTAGTGATTATTCTTTGTTTTATTATTATTATTATTCACTTAATTTGTTAATTTATCATTGGAATGTGTCAAAGTTGCTATAAGTTTAATTCTTTGTATTTTTAGGATATATTTCACTACGGTAAAACCAATCCTTCTTTACCTGAAGATGTTGCACCTGGAAATGGCGTGCCTATATTTCCGACATATCCCATGGAATGTTTCATTTTACCAGAGAAATTTGAAGTCATGCTGGGTATTTGCAGAACGAGCAATCTTAAGCAGGATATGCCCACGAATTTTGTTAGTAGAGAGAGAGTGTCCTTTGAGGATCGGCGCGTCCCTGAGGCTATACTCGGGATAGAAACAATCAGGTATGATTTTTCACCTCTCAGTGTTGGTCTACAATAGATATTTTAAGCCTTGAAAAATTGGCTAATCACAGTTAACTATTCTCTTCACACTCGACTGTGATTGGTCAGTTTCTTAAGACTTAAAATCTTTTATATCTCATGGACTCGTATGTACGGTAAAATGTAATTACAGGTGTAATAAAAGCAATGTTATCGAAATGCAGGCTCCCTGCGTCGAATCAAATCGCAGAGACAATACACCGAAACGGTACAATGCGATCGCTCCTATTTTGACACACCTTACGGTAAGACTTTGCGCAGCATTTCTCTGCGTACTTTCCCGCACGTGTGGGCTTCGCATAAACCGCGTCCTCTTTTCAGCAAGTTGACGTGGAGCAAAAAAGCAGCAAGCTCTATTTGTCCGGTCAAAGATTCGCGTCGGACGTGACGTCGCCTCGCGAGTGGATCGAGTCTGCGTGGAATCGAGAGGGACGTGTAAACGGCTCGTGGCCATTGGACGATTCTGATTGTAATTTTACGAACGAGGTGGGACGTTTCAGGGACAACGTTGGCTTAATGTGGGAGGAAATGCGACCCACCGACGGCCGCGTCTCGAAATTACGCACGTGGGAGTCCTTCGGGATCGCGGGACCTCCCAAGCAGACGCTGTTCGTCACCGATCTGCCGGAGACGACGCTGCATCTGGCGAGGATAAGACAAACAAGTATTTTATTACTGCTGCCAAAGAAGGTAACAGACAACACACGTTCGCCTAGCAAATGTATCATGGCGAAAATGCGGCCTCTTCGCTGTTACAGGCGGTGCTTTCCGTGCCGCTGATGCGGGAAGTTTCCCGGGGGAAATTCCTGTCGGATGTCAAGCTGCTGCTGTTCGGCATCGATTCCGACTCCTTCACGTACAACAACGTGGTACGGATTTGAGTGTTGCGTCAAAATTGCTGAAGCGAAATGCAACTCTTCGAAATCTGAATCTCATCAGCTTGAGACTTTCATAATATGGAAATATCGGGCTCCGATTTGTTGGCGTTCGGATAATCGCGCGATTTCTCAAATTTCCCATCGGAAATTCGTGTCGCCTCATTGCTTATTATATACTCCCGATAACGAAATGCGAAAATCGGGAAAATTGGAGAAATTCACAATTTCTCAAATCTCACACCGGAAATTCGTGCCACCTGTTTACTTGTTATATTCTCCTGATGTCAAAATGCGAAAATCGGATAATCACTGAATTTGTCAAAATTCCCACCGGAAATCCGCACCACCACTTTGCTCATTACATTATCTTTATATCCAAATGCAAAAATCGGGAAATGAGAGAAATTCGCAATTTTCCAAATCATCCCACCGGAAATTCGTGCCACCTCTTTGTTATATTATTCTCCCGATACCAAAATCCTTCGTGAATTTGTCTCTAGTGTTACGTGAACATTTCAGTTCACTTTTTCGAGGGGGAAAAACCCGAAACTTTTCTCCCGGCGGTTGAATCCCCCCCTTCGACGTGAATTCACGTGAACACTTTCTCAAAGGCATTCGTAAATATCGACTTTTCACGAGTTCACATACAAGGAGAAGATTCGTAATCGCACCACCGTGAAGTGGCGAAGCGAGAAGTCCGCGAAACGTCGGGAAGAAATCCGCGGGAAGAACGCGCAGCAACCCCGTCGGTCCACATGAACGAACCACATCGGGATTTGCATTTTCCCGTTTGCATTTCAGACGGGATTCAAACTGGAGGGGAACATCACTGTACAGGGTGTAAGCACGGAGTCGTTGACGATCGCGTGCCGGGAGGCGGTCTGCTGGGGCAACAGTTTCAAGTCCCTGTCGCGGCTGGTCATGGCCGATCCGCAAACCGGCAAGTTGCAGCAGGACGGCCTCATATTCAGGGTAAAAAACTGGAATTCCCACCGCGTCGGTGAGCGCTTAGCTCTCTCTCTCTCACATTGCAATACGATTGCGCAGGCGATGTGCACCAACGTGAAAGAATTGCTGCTGTACTACCGGGCGGCGTTGCAGAGGATTCTCGAGCGACACGAGTCTCAGGGATCGCTGAGCCTGCTGAAGAAAGTCCGGCCGGTGGCGCGTTTGATCGCGGAAGTCGCGAGACTCTGCGGCTACGAAGGACAGCAACACGACCGGGGCGCTCCGGCCTGCGGTGGCAGCCGGATTTTGACGCACATTTACAAGGAAGTGGCCGAAGTCACCGACCCGAAGGTCGCACTGGTCTTCTACTCCATACTGAAGTCGTGCTGCGAGGTCTACTTCCGGTAAGACACGGGAAAGGAATATCCTATTCCGAGAATACAACGTTTCCCCCCTCAGGGATTTCCGCTTCCCCGGAAGAGTTCTATCGATTATCCTTACGAATCTTCGAACTACGGTCGAATACGGGAGAGTTACAGCGGTCTAAACGTTTCGTAGTCGAGTTATTCTTACATTACGACTTATCTCCGCATTGCTTTCTTCGTGATGTGATGAAGAAGTGAAGTTACTTTCGAGATATCATTTCTCCAACCTCGGCTGGTCGCGTTGAAAGTAGAAGCATCGCCGTGTCGAACGGACGTTGATCGGTGGATTTCCGCAGGTTCTTGCAGAACTGGCTGTTCGAGGGGACGTGCGACGACGTCTACGGGGAGTTCATGATTCAGACGCGGTCGCAGTACCTGCGGAAGAGGGGACGGAAATTCTGGACGAACGCCTTCGCGATCGACGCCGGCGCGGTGCCGGGCTTCCTCTCCGACCTGTCGGAGTCGATCCTGCGCTGCGGCAAGACGCTGCGACTCCTGAAGATCTGCAGTCCGAAGGTTGGTTACTTGGCCGTCGTCTCGGGGATATTCGGCCGGTTCTCGACGGTACAAAAACCATCACGATTCATATTGTTCATTCGTCGTGTCCACGTTAGAATCCGGTGTGCGAGGTGTCCATCGGCGCCCAACCGGAGGTCAGAGTTTGCTTGAGCGTGTCTATGCTGCGGGAGCAGCTGATGAGGTGTCGGGAATACGAGGGGAGGAGCGGGGCGGCGTCGGGGCCGATAGTGTCGCTTCTTTCGGCGATTCGCGAGCGGAACAAGGCCGAAAGGGCGACGGTCGAACTGGTGATGCGCGCCCAGCAGGAGACTCTGTCCAGGATCAACCGTAATGTTTCCGGCTCCTACCCTTTCGATCGTAGTTACAAGCGAAAGCTATTCGCCGCGTTCCCAATAACGTTCCTCGATGCTTCCTTCCTCAGAGCAACGCGAGGAACTGGTCGCGAGGACCGCGCAGAGCAAACGGGCGCTGCTGCAGGCGCTGAAGGACCAGGCGGAGGAGAATGCCTTGTTCAAAGAGAGGGAGAAGGAACTCGAAGCGTTGGCCGAGAAATTGTTGCTCGAGAAGATCGATCGGGAGCAAAGGGAGATGCGGGAGCAACGGAGGAGCGAACGGTGAGTCCTTGAAGCCTCCTCGTTTCTCCATCGGGAGCGGTGAAGAAGCAAAATTCTTGTCTCCCGAAATTCTCGTCAAATATGTTGAGAGGAGAAAAAAAAAGCAATATATGCCTGTCACAATATTATGTAAATATCCTGGAAATGTTCCTTTCGCAATCAACGAATAGTCGTGAAATTAATAACGATACCGCAATTCCTTCCCATGATTTTTATCAAAGCCCCGTAACTCCTCCTTGAATTTCGTTTATTTTTCGGGAACGGTGAAGAAGCAAAATTCTTGTCTTCCGAAATTCTCGCGAAATACGTTGAGAAAGGGGGAAAAAAAACAATATGTGCTTGTCACAATATTGTAAATATCCTGGAAATGTTCCTTTCATAATCAACGCATAATCGTGAAATTAATAACGATACGCAATTCCTTCCCATGATTTTTATCAAAGCCCCGTAACTCCTCCTTGAATTTCGTTTATTCTTCGTGGTCGGGAAAAGTGATCGTTGAATTTTCACCCACGGTTTACTTCGACGACCGTTGAAGGACGAAGACCATTCGAAGTTCAAGTATTTCCAATCTCGTTTCCCAGGGAGCATCTTGCGAGCCACTACGACAAATTAACCGCCGACATCGAAAGGATTCACGCACGGTTCAGCTGGCGTAAAGCGAGAATGAGCAATTTCGCGAGACGGACGGTACTGTTGGAGTCCTTGAAGAGGCGCGAGAGAAGGATATCGGGAAGCGTGGGAAGTACGCCGAGCTCGGACGTCGAGAACGCTGTCGTCGACATCGACGAGCCGACGAGCAAGGCTACTTCCGTTTCAGTTGCGAGCATAGACGAAGGGGAAGGACGAGAAGGAGCTAAGCAGGACGAGAACAGTAATTTCGCGGGTGACGAAGCGACGGACGTCACGACGGACGGCTTTGATCGCGTCAGCTCCGCGTCGGAGACTCTGTCGCCCGGCGAGGTGATCCCCGAGGACATGAAGGACCTTCAGTGCGATTCTCGCAAGAAGGACGGCGCGTTGAACGAGGAAAGCACGAAGGGGCGCGAGGAGACGCAAAACGTGGGTCTGCCGCGAGAATCCTTGCCGTTGAACATCTACAAGAGGAACAACGAGCGGAGCGACCTGCAGGATTTCCTGCGCGACGAAGCGATGAAGAACATCCGCGCCATCATGAGCGACGGCCGGATGCCGGCGGACACGGCGACGTTGGACGTTCGTTTGAACGACATCCTGAGGGCCGACGAGCTGACCGGCAGGATAATCGCCGCGAACAGACCCGTCTCCTTGGCCATCGAGAGGATCGACAACATGAGCGCCGCCCAGGCGAACAAACTGAAGGTCCTCCTGCGGGAATACGGCGTGACCACGCCGAATAACAATAACGAGTTCAGCACGATAATCGTAGAAGATCGCGCGAACGATAACGATAATCGAGCGTCGCTGGGAAGAATCGAAGAACGCAGCAACACGGGAGAAAACGTGAACAACAACAACAACGACGTTCCGCCGACGTTCGACGCGAAGTCGGTTAACGCGAACTTCGCGGACACGCCGATGTCCTGCACGACCGACAACTTGACGACCCTGTCGAGCCACACGCCTCTGTCGCAGCTGCCGAACAGCGAGGAGCTCTTCTCCCTGAACGCCGCCCCGGAGACCTCCTGTTTGTCCGGCAATACGGTGAGGTCCGTCACGGAGGAGACGTGCTTCGAGTCGCCGATGATCGGCGACTTCAGGCTGCCGAATTTCTTCGGCCTCAGCCCGGACGACGCGTCGGCACGACCGGCACACGTCGCGTCGTCCTTGACGATAGCCGACGTCGAAATGATCGACAACACGTCCCTCCGGGTGTATCTGGAGAAGTCCGTCGCGATCCCGCTGCGGATACAAAGCCGGCTGGTGGACAACGCGATAATCGACCACCTGGTGAACGAGCACGCCATGCTGCTGCACCTGCACAGCCTGCGCGGCTACTTCTTCCTGCTGAACGGCGAGTTCGCGAAGAGTCTGACGGATTCGCTCTATTCGCGACTCTACGCGATCTCCGCGCCCATCGAGCTCTTCAATTCCGCCACGCTGACGAACCTCCTCGAACAGGCGCTGATGAATTCCTTCAGTAATAATAATTACGTGAATTCCGAACTACTCAGTCTCTCAGCCGTCGACAAGCCGTGCCAGTTATACGTGAGTGTGCGATCCTGCCGTCTCCTTTTCCGAACGTTTCCCCGATTGTCGAGATCCGTCGAGGCCGAAGTTGCTTTTTGACGATAATTCGTTATTTTTGTGTATCGAAACAGCAGATGTTGCAAGTTACTCTCTCGCCATTGGAAAAACCGAGCTGAAAGAGTCGCTTTTTAAGAGCGACTTTTTCTTACTCGTGATCCAGCGGAGAGGAATAATTCGTTACTATTGCTCGTTTATAAAAATAACTCATTACCAGAAGTCACTTTTTCAAAATATCCCGTTATTGTCGTTCGTTATTCGTTGAGAGAAGCGAAGCTGGAACTTTCAAAAGTAACTTTTAACAATAACTCGATATCTGCCACTCATTATCCATTGAAGAAAACAGGGTTGGAAGTTATTTTTTCGAGACAACTTGTTACTCATTACTCATTGGAAAAATAGGATTGGAAAAATCGCTTTCTAAAAGTAAACTCTTCACCATCATTCGTTGCCTTTTGAAGAGAAATAATTTGTCGTCGTTACTTTTACTTAGTTTAAAAAATAACTTGTTGTTATCATCATTTAAGAAATAACGATGACGTTACAAAATTGTAACGGGAAATCCCGTTACTTCCTCTATCGAGCTAAGGAATCTTTCTTCACAATGTGCTGCCATACATCCCATTGTGCACAAATATTCTATATATATGTATGTATGTGTATGTATGTATATATATATGTGTATATAAAATAACGATAATTCCTGTCACCGTTGCTATTATTAAGTAGTTATCAAACTTAGTGACTTGTAACGGTGATGACGTTGCAAGCAGTTACTTTCCAGCATTATGGTTGAGATACACGTATATATAATAATAATAATAATAATAATAATAATAATAATAAAACATCCTCTTACCGCAGATATCAGATCCGAACGTTCTGGAATGCCTCTGTCTCAATTACAAGATCTCGTGGCCGTTGAATATCATTTTGGACGACACGGTGATGCTGCAGTACAGCAAAGTGTTCAAGTTCCTGATAATGACCGGCAGGATGTCGTGGGTCCTGAAGGAGGACTTCAACATCATGAAGGTGGACCGTAACGTGGTCGTCTCGGAACAGTATCACAAAGTAAGACAACTCATTTTTGTGTTACCATTCTGGATATCGCGAGGAATGCGAAAAAAAAATCACTTATCGTTGAACTTGTCCGTTCGCTCGCAGCTCCAATTGTACAGACATTCCATGACCCAATTCATGAACGCTCTTCACAATTACCTGACGTGCAGCGTGCTACACGCGAGCTGGAGCGAGTTCGAGAAGGATTTGCAGAACTCGCAAACGATAGATCAGATTTACCTTTCGCACATGAATTACATCAAAAGGATACTCTCGAGGTATGTTTCGCCTTTTCTATTTACCTTTTATTCCCTGTCGTTTTAAAAAGAGAGAAAAACAAATCGTCCGTTTTCCTTTAGTTTCCATTTAGAAAGGGGTTTTTAGGGTTATTCGAAACGTATTACGGCCACTTGTTATGTTTGATAATTAATTAATTCGGAAGCTAAAAATTTCCCCGAATCCCAAATCTCGCAAAACTTTTCGATAGCTGAGATATTAATCGATATATTTAATACGGTAAATTTTACCCCCCCCCCTTTTTTTGGAAAACCCAAAGAAATACATATTGATCCTTCTTTCTTCAACATCATTGGCGTGTAAATGCCTGGACGGAGTATTCTGGGAGGAAAAGACCTGATTAAGCGGCAAAGGGAAAGTTACGGGTATTTCGAGTAGTCCAATTCCAGTTTTTATAACAGTTTTTATTGGAGCTGCGACATTTACAACAAACAGAAGTAGTGTTTTCGGAAATATTTGCTATTCAATGTATCGTAAGGTGTCTATGCATCATAAGACACACACAGCAAAGCAAGCTTTAAGTGCCGTTTTTCCATTGCAATTCGAAATTCAAGCCGACGAGAGAGAACTTGTGCGAAACAAAAATTCTCCCATCGGTCACTGACTTGCGTTTTAAACCACACATCGAGTGGAAAAAAAAAGTGTTGAAATCGAAATCAGTTGTACATGCTCCGTCCAGGTATTCCAGGATTGGGAAAGTTACTTTGAAAAATAATGCGTTGCCGAAAGTAAGCCGAGATACTGTTGTCGTTATACTCAAAAAGTAATGAATCGTTACGGTTTCCATTACCTTTTCTCACCGAGTCTCGAAGAGCTTTCCTTAGGAAATTCGTTTCCGCCTATTCTATATACATGTATTTTATCATACATATATATATGCATGCAAAATCATGACAAGAGTAACGATTATATTCGTTATCGTTGCTCAGGAACTGCGATTAAATTACCGTTACACTCACTAATCGGGAAGAAAAGAAAAATAACGGTCGTTACCACCGTCTTTGCTGGGGAAGAAAAAAATCACAATTTATAACATTCCACGACCCAATGAATGCGGTGTCACTTCCTGATCCTGAGACACTCGCACGTCGACGTTCGAGATACAAACATAATCGGGAATCCCACGAATTGCGCGTTCGTGACTTGAACGTCACCGTATTTCAGGTGTATGCTGAACACGCGCGGGGAGAAGATGCGCGTGTGCCTGATCAACATCTTCAAGATAATACTGAAGTTTCACAATCGACTGCGATCGCAGATGTGGACAGTCGGGAGTAACACGGGCCGGTACGGTCATCCGAATTTCAAGAGTTTGGAGCAGATGTATCGGTCGTTCTGCGAGTGGCGGATCTACATGGCGCACGTGGCGCACAAATTGGCCACCAGCGGATACCAGCCGCACCTCACCCACTTCCTCAACGCTTTGAATATGAATCACATGTACGACCTGACGACGAAGCAGCAGTAAAATTGCAGCATTGTGACCGATTCGGTCGTCTCTCACGATCGAGATATCGTTAGATGTAAAAAAAAAAAGGGATAAAAAAAAGAATGCAGAGAGATCACTGTAAGTTATCTGGCCTGCGTTCCCGCATTAAAAAGGATTTTCGCGTTAGTCCGCCTTTACGTCGACGTTGTTTGGCGAAGTTTATTGGTGAGAAAACAGCGTTGTTTGCACTCACAAGGACACCGACGACAAGTTCGTCACGTCGAGCACTTTGACGCAACGTTTGCACAGTCCATTATCGTCGGACTCGGGGTGCCTCCTGCACCGCTGACAGAGGCTCTTCCCGATATCGCGTAATTCGACCCGCGTCTCCTCGTTTATCGCGGACGACTCCGCCAGCGTGACCGACGATAGTTGCAGGATCTCGCACAGTTCCGACGTGGAGGATTCCCGGTCCTTCTGAAGGATCTACGACGATAACGAGTAACGTCGATTTAAGAATCTTAGCACCAACTGTTACTTATTATTGTATATTATTTTCACTTATTATTGAAGTGTCTGGTTAGGAGCGAACGACGGCTGGGATCTTCGATAATCAACGATCTATCGAACGGTGAGGGCGAGGCTGCGGAAAATCCACGAAAATAGGAGAGACTCACCGAGAGAGATTCGTAGTCACTCCTCGACGCGGTGATGACGCCCGATAATTCCCACGTGTTTCGGTCGGCCAACGTGCTCGCCTTGTTTCTCAGGTGTAAGGCCGTCTCCATGTGCGCGGCGATTTCCGGTTGGTTCCAAGTCTCCGGTATCTTGTACTCGGTATGGTACAACTGCACCGATGCTGCGAATAATGTTGTAGAGTAGAATTGGGCGATACAGTATCGATAACGTAGGGAAATAGGGTGATTTCACCTGAGAAAAATAAGGGTTTTCCTGCACGAATTGCGGGGGGAATCTACATTTTTCTGAGAAAAATTCTTATATCCCCATGTATCGATACTATATCGTATATATCGATACAATATCGTATGTATCGATGCTATATCGCTCAATTCTATGCGCGAGCGATATAAAGCGAAGTCCACAGTGAGAATTTAAGCTCTAAGTCTCAAGAAATTGACCGATAACAGTCGATTATTCTCATAATCGATTGGTCGTAATTTCTTAAGGCTCAGAGCTTAAAGCACCCAATCATAGGCCGGAACTAACGCGACGATGGGGGAGATTCCGTTCAGAGGAAATCGGCTTACCCAGATTCTCGGGATGGTGCAACCACACCTCCTCCGCCAAGTGCGGGACGATCGGCGCGACGGATCTCGCGAGGACGGTCAAAGTTTCACGCGACACCTCCACCGCGGCCAGTCGCGCCGGCGACGTCGCCTCGTCGCAATAGAGCCGGTCTTTGGTCAGATGGCAGTAAACCGACGACACGGTGTTCGCCAGGAAATGCGTGACCAGTTTGCTCACGTTGTGGTACAAATAATTGTCGTACAAACGTTGAATCTGCGAGTAAAAACAAAGGGAAAAACAATGTCGGCGGTACCGCAACTTTCAAGCCTTGTAACTCGAAAAGTACTCAATGCACAAATATTTCGTTACAGTGTTTTGAAAAGCTCTCGAGGTAAGCTACAAAAATATGCCGATCGAAAGTGGGAGGTTCCGTTTGGAAAATTCAAAATGACCTTCAAAAGACTATCAAAGGTCAAACCGTCTATTATTTCTGTTCAAACCATTCAACTTTTGTCTAAAACGTTTTTTCCATTGACGCGACGTTTTCGAAATATTTGCGTGCCTAAGTTAAAATGGGATGCACACACACACACACACACACGCACGCACACACTTCATTGGATATTAAAACCATATAAAGAAATTAAAGTAAACAAAACAATATAACGACAGAAGCGGCCAAAAGACGCAACAACAATTACACAGCTGATTTTACTGCATTGTCTAAGAATTAGAAAACGATATTCTAATTCTACGCTAAAAATATTAAGTACACTGTTAAACCGAAGTTACATATTAAACGGGGCCTACAATGAGAATTTGAACTTTGAACCTTAAGAATTCGACCAATTATAGTCGATTATTCTCCTCATATTCGACTGTAATTGGTCAATTTCTTAAGGCTTAGGGTTTATTAAAGCACCTATGTGCTACTGTAAACCGGGCTTTAATTATACGCGTATTGTACATATGTAACGATAAAGTAACGATAAAAGCAACAATTATATTTGTTACTGTTATCTTAAAAACGTAATTATATTATCGTAAAAATGTAATTATATTACCGTTACTAATGGAAAAAAATAATGTTATCGAGTCGCTACTGAAAGAAAAAAATAACGATTACAACGTTAAACAGAAGGGGGGGGGGGGGGGGGGCTACAATGAGAATTAAATTTATTATTTAATTATTAAAATCAATCATGATCGGTCGATTTCTCAAATTTCACGCCTTAAATTCTCATTGTAGATCTCGTTTAAGTGTCGGTCCACATGGTATTTTAAGCCTTAAGAAGAAATTGACCAATCACAGTCGAATAATAGAAGAGAAATCGATGACAATTGGCCAATTTCTGAAATCTTACGCTTGAAATTCTCATTGCGGATCCCATTTCATAAGTAACTTCCGTTATTTCCGAACTCTCCGCTCTGACATAGAGCTGGCGGAACACAGCTTTGATCACACGAGTACCTCTTTGTCGTACTGATACAAAGCGTGCAGCATATATTTGTCCAAGTGAAGATATTCTGGCTCGACCGAGGTGCCCCCGCTGTACGAGTGCAGAACGCCCAGCAGGAATCGCAGGATCAGCCGCAGCCTCTGGATGCACTCGTGACTCTCGTTCAACAACGCCGCCGTAACCGGCACCTGAGTGCGCTGACACGCGTGGCCGGCTACCCACCACCTGTTGACACCTGCCGTTTAGCTCTCGAACGATTCGTTTTCCACAGGTTGCGATTGACCGAACAAAGGCAACCGATATTTGTGGTAAACAACGGGGGTGGAAGTTATTTTTTTTTTAATGTGCAATTACATCAACGTTACTTTCATTTTAAGCAGGGTCCACAATGAGAATTTAAGACGTAAGATTTAAGAAACTGACCAATCGTCATTGATTTTTCTTCTATAATTCGACTGTGATCGGTCAATTTTTCAAGTGTCACGCGTTAAATTTTCATTGTAGACCCCGCTTTACTTTCATTCGTTGCGTGTTAAAAAAAGAAACTCGTTACGACTATTATTACTCAAAAGGAAGAAGAGCGAGTTGTTGTACAGTCTGCATTGCTCTTTTTATCTCAAGTTCTGGAGACCTCTTATGACTTATTACGTTGTAATCGGCAATGTATTAGGTTGTTACAAAAGTTCTGTCAGTTTTTTAATCACAAATTTGAGACCAAAGACTATCAGACTAGTAGAAAATCAACTGCAAAGAAACACATACAAGAAACTGACGAAACTTTTGTAACAACCTAATACATTCATCCTCCTATATGTTTAAAATAACAAGAGCAACGATTACACAAGGTGTCCTGAAATTAAACCGACAAACTTCAGATATTTATAAAGGACAAAGCAAGTAATCTTTATGAATAAACTCATTTCAGCAAATGAGCCATTTTAACACTAGACTGAATTATTCACAGTAGTTGTTCAAAGTGTTGGCCATTTATTTCAACACCAGCAAATTTCTTCCTGGCTTGGTTTTTGTTGTGTGTGCTATCTCTTAATAAAAAGAAACATCGATAAAAATTGCTTCGTCAAACTGAAAATCGTTGAAAATTCTCAAACGAATGGAATTAGTATCGTTTGTTAATTCACGAACTGAGTATCGATATGCTTCTTTATCGCTTATCCAAAATTCATTTTCGAATAGAAATACTTTTTTGCCGATAAATTGGCTGATGTGCATCTCATTTCTATGAGAAAACTAGATGTAAATGGTTGACACTTCGAATAACTCCTACAAATAACTCATCAGTATTGTAAATAATTCACTCCAGTGCCAAGACCATTCATTTTCAAACATAATTTTACTAATAAAAATTACTTCTTTTGGCGCCCTTAGTAAACACCAGAAGTTAGTCGGATGTCCAATTTCAGGACATCCTGTATTCGTTGTTGTTATCTGAAAGACGTAATTGTGTCACCGTTACTGAGAAAAAAAGGTAACTTGTAACGGCAATACGTTACTTCCCAACCCTAATAAAAAAAAAAAGAGCTACCTCAGAGTGTCGACGCCGTACGTTGGATTCTTGTTCGAATTGTCCCCTTTGGTGATCAGTTCGGGATTCACGACGTTCCCGACCGACTTGGACATTTTCACGGCTTTGTCGTCCACGGCGAATCCATGCACGAATAATGCGCTTTGAGGAAAATAAAAATAGAACGATATGAGCGAAATATATGTGTTTGAAACAGCTCAGCATACCATTCGATTCTTCAGTGCGCGGCCTACCTGTAAGGGGAGCGTTCTTGAAGAGCGACAGACGTTAGCAACGACGACTGAAACCAACCACGAAATTGGTCCATCCCTTCCAAGTACAAGTCCGCTTTCTTGTCCGGCAAAACGGTCGACCACGAGAGTCCGCTGTCCAACCAGATATCCATGATATCCTTCAAGAATAAAGTTACAAATACATTTTGCAGTTACACAGTAACTAACAAAGTGAAGAATTTTCCCAGTTTAACCTCCATCGCAACTTTAAATCGAACCAAAACTCTTTCCCTGGTAGGAATACTTCGAGAAGCGATTATTTAATGGGATCCGTTGCTGAAATTCCTCAACAAATCTACTACTTATTAGGGAAGAACCTCAGAACAGACCTGTGTCTATCCTGAAAATACAAGATTTATTATTTACCTGAATTCCTTATATGTAAAATAATCAATTTTCTCACTTATTCTAATCTTATTACTGAAGGAAATTTTATTGTTATTTTTACTTCTGAAAACATTATTAAATTTAGGGCCACTTTTATCATTGATCAAATGCCTTTTTAAGCCTCGATCAGACGCCTAGTTTCTCCTTTCCACATTCTTCAAGAGGACACCCGAAACGAAAATGCCATGACTGTTCGTGAGCGAACGTTAAGAAGGATCGGCGATATCCATACTTACGGTTCCTTTCTCAAAGTCATCCACGTTGCCGGGCAATTCTTGCTGAAGCTCGCGGCCGATCAGTTTCTCCGTCGACATTTCCCACCAGTAATCAGGGCCGCAACGTTCCGTCAATTTACACAATCTGTCAACCCACTTTCTGAGGAATGCAGAAACATTCACGTATCGTGATTCCGTTTTTATTGTGGAAGTCATATTTCAGGCTGATTCAGAAGTTTGACCCCGTGAAATATACATATTTTATTTTTTATCGGTATATTTCTAATTGAAAAGTACTTTCCTCATATCAATACTTGTTTAGCAATACTTGTTGAATAAATAAAATGTGGAACATCGAGAAATAACTTCAATATTGAATATAGAAGAGAAACACAGAAGATTTATAAATCAATCTCTAATTTAGCAAAATAGAAAATATTAAATATTAAATAAAAACACAAAATCCATAATATAAATGCTTAATTCTTGCCTTCCGAGTTAAGTGCCGCAATCTTCATGGATTCGTTTCCGACTTAAGTTCCGTGAACATTTCGGTTTACTTCTTCAGAATTTCACTCCTTTTGGGTTTGTTTCTCTTCCTGAAGAAATTAATTAAAGCGTTTATGAAACGTCGGAAACAAATCCGTGAAGAACGCAGCGTTAACTCGGCAGCCAAATTAAGCACCTCTCCACACTGCGGAGGCCCAAAGTATCATGTAAGAATATTATATAATATATTTAGAAATAATATCAATACTGAATATAGAATAGAGAGTGGACTTTCGAATCAGCCTGATGTGGAAAAATAACGTCGGAAGAAAGAGTCACCTGCTCGTGTAAACATCACCGGTTCGTTTGTTGTGCAACACCGGTATCGGCGTGCCCCACGAGCGTTGTCGAGAAATGCACCAATATGGCCGATGCTTGATTTGTGCGTGCAACGCGTTTGTATACGACGACCGGTGTTGTTCCGGATATATCCTCAAATTCGTGATGCTATCCTTGCGTGGAAGGGGGAAAAAAATGTACCATGAACGAATGCACAGATTTAAGCGGAGTCTACAATAGATACTTTAAGCTCTAAGACTTGAGAAATTCACCAATCACGGTCGAATTATACAAGAAAGATCAATTACGACTGGCCGGTTTCTTAAGTCTCACGCCTTAAATTCTCAATGTAGACCCCGCTTTAAAGAGTAACGCCGCCTCGTCTCGGAAATCGTCTCGACTCGAACTTACAAAGGCCTTCTCCTTGATGGACTTGACGTCTATGAACCACTGGTAGCTCGCACGGATGATGATCGGTTTCCCGGTGCGCCAATCGTACGGGTAACTGTGCGTTATTGCGTCGATGTGCAGCACATCCGCGCCGATGCGGCTCAGGATTTTCTCAGTGCCATCGGTCAGCACGCTCAAGCCGACGAACTCGTCGCCCGCGTCCCCGGTGTAGCGTCCTTCCTCGTCCACCAAGGATAACTGTCGACGGCGGAAATTAGAAATCGTCAGTGTTTTCCGGTATCTAGATAAAATTATCTAGATACTCGTCCAGATGAATGTATCATCTTTATATTTATCTATGATGGAAGAAATACAAGATATATTCATCTTCATCTTAAGTTAAAAAAATGTTATCTAAAATGTTATCAAAAAATTATCTGAAATAATGGTTCGTATTTTGAACAATACGGATTGATTTTTCTCCGTGATTTTTCTCATAAATTTTTACAAAATCTCTCACGAAAACAATACCTAAAAAATTACTTAGACAAGTAGCGCCACTTATCGTATCTTTCATCTGGATGAAATAAAAGCAAAATCATCATCTCATATGAGACGAATTTTTTGGATTTTCACCTCGTCTTCAACTAGATGAATCTGATATCATTCAAGGCAATTAACGTTGACTCTCACCACGGGTATATCGTTTTCTATCGCGAGGAGGAAGTCCTCCGGGCCGTGTGCCGGAGCCGTATGAACCAATCCGGTACCGAGGTCGGTCGTCACGTGCTTGCCCGGTAAGAAGGGTAGACGCTCCTTGGTGATTGGATGGAGATACCTCGCCTCGGTCAGCTCGTGTCCTGCGTTCAATCAATTACAAAGTCAGGATATTTCCACACACACACACAAAGTATAAAATAGCTGAATCATACCTTTGACAGTTGCAACAGGCTTCAGCGGGCCGAGTTTCTCCTCAACGCTTGTCACGCGTTCTTGCGCAAGGATGTAGAGGTTTTTCAAACTATCTTCGACCACACAGTAGACACTGTTCTCGGAGAATGCTACAGCCTGATTAACTATCAACGTCCACGGCGTCGTCGTCCAGATAAGGGCGTGAAGAGACTTCCCGCTTGCCAAGTTCCTCAGATTCAAGGGCAACACATCAAGCTGCAAGCGAACAATCACGCTCTTGCTCTTGTGGGACTCGTTGTATTCCAATTCCGACTCTGCCAATGCTGTTCTAGGATCGACGGAAACGAGAAATTTTAGAGAAATCAAGGACGAGAAGAACCTTCTTTTTTTTTAAAGAAGAATCAAGCTGCAGGTTGATTCGAAATTACAACGTACTTGGAAGAGGGCGACCAATGTACCGGTTTAAACGCCCTGTACACGAGCCCCCTTTCGTAAAGATTCACGAACTGCTGCAGCTGGTTCTTTATGTACGAAGGATGATTCGTGAAGTAACATCCAGACTCGCTCCAATCAGCTATGACACCCCACGACATGAAGACCTCCCTCTGCCTGGCTATTGCGTCGCTCGCATATTTTCGGGCTGCGATATAGAAACTTTCAGAACATGATATCAGGCGCGATATTTGTACACCTCTGATATACCTTTCTGACGAATCTCCAAAGGACTTATGTTTTGCGCGCCACTAAGCGCCTTCATCTCAATCGGTAAACCATGACAGTCCCATCCCGGGACGTAATGCACCTTCCTGCCCCTGATAATTTTACTACGCAGAACGATATCCTTAAGGATCTGGAAGCGTGCGAAGAATTTGTGTAACAAGGATTATTATCAACTTGAGAGCAGCTCTCCACCAAACTTCAATTAATCTAATAAACAATCAACCGGCAAGATTACGAATTGAAATTGCTGTCGGAGGAGAAATCGTGAGAGGAATTGGAAATTGCTTCTGGATAACTGATTCATTTCCACCGGTTAATCGACGATTAGATAAATCAGAGATTGAGGAGAGTGTTTCTAAGATTCTTCTTCTGTTATTCTGTTAGTAGTTGACCTTGTTAATGGCGTGGCCCATGTGTGGCTCCCCGTTGGCATAAGGCGGACCATCGTGCAGGACAAAGTCAGGCCCGGCGAGATGTTTCCTCTGCCACTTGTATAACTCCAGAAAGCCGCATTTCTGTCGTGTGAAGATGCACACAAAGAAGCATTATACACACAGTTATTAATTGAAAAGATACAATCCGGTAATTTTGCGTGACAATATTATTGTTTAAACGCGACAGTTTTCGGGACGCACCAATAACGTATTCTTTAGCGGGGAAGAAAAACGTGGGAGCTGCAAAAAAAAAAAGGCGCGACAAACCTACTTCTATCAGATAACTATCCATCTCCGCTCTCTTCTTGCCGTTGAGTCGTGCCGGAAAGTTGGTTTGCGGCAACAGCACGGTTTTGGTGTAGCTCTTTTTCGTCGCACTTTTCACGCCTCTCGCGCACAAACCGTTGCTGATTTTCGCATAATTCTGCAACGTCGCTCTGACCTGCTTCATTCTCGCGATAAATATGTACATTTTTTTTGTAAATCACAAGATACTCTGTTTTCAATGTCTTAACCTAAGTTTAAGCGCGACGCAGGTTGCGTTCGAGAATCTCACTCGTGGTGTGTTTCTGTTTCTCAGTTATGGCTAGGACAACCTTGAGGCTCGTTTCCAACACCATCAGTTAAAACCCGTATCAGACTATGGATTGAAGATTGAAGTGAAATTGAAATTTGACCAATCAGTATGGAATTCACTAAATTTCACTAAACTTGAGTTTAATTAACGTTACATTGATTGGTTAAATTCATTTCAATCTCGATCTCCAATCCGTAGTCTGATACGGGCTTAACGATTCGTGGTGTGTTCCACTCACTCGCTCACTCAGGGTTGTGTTCGGGAATCTACACTGTGTGCTACCAAACCATCGGATGAAAAACCAGATGAAGTTGATGCTGTCAGTTACTATCTAGTTACTTTGGTCGTAACCTCTTCGGGAGCGGTGCGTTTGGACACGGTGCAGTTGCACACAGCCAATCACAGCACCGTGTGCCTAGAGACATTTCTAGGGCCCTTTGAAATGGCGACTTGTGATTGGACTGCGTCCAAGTGACACACACACCTAGCCTCTTCATGTAAATCTTATCTTGACGATAGAGTTTGGTGATACAATATCGATACATAGGGAAATAGGGTTATCCCCCGGAAAAATAAGATTTTCCTTCACAAAATGCGGGGGAAAAACCTATTTTTCTGGGAGGAATCTTTATTTTCTTATATATCGATACTGTATCGCCCAATTTTGGTCTTGATGAGTAAAAAATGTCAATGTCACATTGATACAAGGACGGCATGATGATGTTACGACGACATGAATACGTACAACTGTATTCGCGGTATGTATGCGTGCGCATCTCCACACCGCCTCCGACCCGTTTAGTTCGGTCACATCCGGCACCGAGCGCAGATGGCGCTGAAAACTGCGTCCAATTTTTACGAGAGCGAGTTTGCACCCCTGTTTCCCCCGTGTAGCCTGTTCTCAGAAAAGAGCGTAAAGCCCGAATCAGACTATGGATTGGAGATTGAGATTGAATTTAGCCAATCAATGCAAAGTCAACTAAATTCTAATTTAGTGAAATTTAGTGAGCTTTGCACTGATTTGTCAAATTTCAATTCAATCTTAATCTCCAATCTGTAGTCTGATACGGGTTTGAAGCGGGGGTTTACAATGAGAATGTAAGGCGTAAGATTTAAGAAACTGACCAATCATAATTGATTATTCCGCTATAATTCGCCTGTGACTGGTCAATTTCTTAAGGCTTAAAGCATCTATTGTAGCCCGGGACTAATGCCCGTATCAGACTACGGATTAGGATTGAGATTGGATTGCAATTAAACCAATCGGAGCAAAGTTTACTAAACTCAAGTTTAGCGAATCTTGCTCTGATTGGCCAAATTTCAATCTCAATTCCAATTTGTAGTCTGATACGGGTTTAAGTTAACTGCAGCCTCTATTTCTTCTCAGGACCGCGGCCTCGGTACGCTAATAACGAGGAGGCGATTGACCTTATCGGTCTTCCCGCGACGGCAGCTCCGGTTATCCCTCTCGTCCGCTATTCCCTTGATTTCTCCCTCGTCTTCTTCCGCTCGGGAAGTTAATGATTACAAAAAAGAAACATTTGCCTCGCGGATCACCCCGACGTGCGCGGAAAGCGAACGCATTAACTGAAGACCTCAGGACGACGCGTCTATTCTGAATCTAACTTCTCCGAGAGAATGACCGATATTCGTATTCGGGTCTTATTTTAAGACAGTCTTAAATTTATGTTCAGATGTTTCATAGCCAATGAAATTATCTTAAATATATATATTTAAGATCGTCTTAAATTTATCTTCAGATGCTGTACGGCTTGTTTCATCGGCTATGAAACATCTGAGAATAAATTTAAGACTGTCTTAAATATAAGATCCGACTATGAATATCAGCCAATGTCATCCCGGGGAGTTGACAGCGGCCACGTCACAAATTCTCACTGTGAGAATTTAAAAGAACGATTTTAATTATTCTAGAAGTGATGCGATTTTCACCCAAGAGTGAGAATTTATTCGTACTGTTTGTATGATGATAGAAATTCCCACATTTTACTCTTGAACTGCTTTAGGTAATCAAAATGATGAAGTTCTATGTTGATCTCTTTGAATCCGTTTTCATGTGGAAAATACAAATATCCAGGTAAACGGGAAGAGGTTTGACATCAGTTGGCATCCGTTGTAATCGATTAACCAGTTTCACAAAGCTGTAGTGGATAATACTAGCGCTAAACTACCAAACAGACATCGTTAGCTTTTTTTGGTGAATATTCGGTTTCGGACTGTGCTTCTTCGTTTTTATCCAATCGTTGTACTGGACGCTTGCGATTGTCGAAAAGAATCCATTTTTCATCATACGTAACGATATGTAGCGATTAAACCATTTTGTACAAAAAAGTTCTGCACCATTTTACAAATAACAAATTTTTGAGTTATCAATTAAAGAGACCTCTATACACGGCCATTTTGAATAATTGATAACTCGAAATTTTCCGTGGTTCTTTGCAAAATGGTGGAGGACATTTTTTCCGTTCAGTTTAATCCACCTTCTACCCACGCATAAGCGGTGCTCCATGAATTACCGGACACCCTGTATATAATCCCTTTATCCGCCCAGGTAGAACAGGAAATTACGTCAAAATGATGGGAAGAAAAATGATCGAGAAATGAATTTTATAATCTCCTCATTTCGTCACTTTGTCGTCATCGTCATTTTCTATTCCACCGGGGCGATATCTCGATAAGATCGCGGCGATTATATTAGATTTTTACATTATCGATCCGCAGTGAATGTTAACGAGGGCGTCAGCGGGTCTATTCTGTAACTTCCTAACGACTTCTTAATGTCACCAGCCTAAGATGTCGTTGAGCAGTATATAAAGCGGGGTCTGCTAATGAGAAATTAAATTTAAGAAATTGACCAATCATAATTGATCTTTCTTCTATAATTCGACTGTGATTGGTCAATTTCACAAGGCTTAGGACTTAAAACATCTATTGTAGACTAGGACTTAACATATGAGACGGAAAAGCTGCGCAACGACACGACGTAACGATAACGACGACGATGTCGTCATAAAAAGTTACAGAATCAAGTTACAGTCACGCGCACTTGCCTGCGGGTAGTATAATTTTTCTCGGGTCTCGGACGTTTCTTCCATATTTCCATATTTTGCCGGGGCCGAAATTCCGGGCGAATTCGGGCGAAAGAGATTTCTCTTGATTTTCAGCGGGGGGGAGCGGCGGGGAGGGGGATATCCGGCAATTAAGCACGCGCGCCGGCTCGAGCTGACGCGACACGGACAATAGATGAGCCGGCGGGTAGCCTTAATTAAATGGTAAAGGCGGCCGATTAGTTGGCAAACTCGCGATAGTGGAAATTTATTATACCCAATGCACACCTATTTCACCTCTCTCTCCCTTTCTTTCTCTCTCTCTCTCTCTCTCTCTTTCTCTCGCTCGTTCTGGCACGTGCTCACCTTCTTCCGCGTGTTCTCTCTCCC